ACTGTTGAGTCTACTAGCCATCGCGTGGATGAGTGCAGCGTGCACGTTATGCAGCCCTACATGACTAACCCGAATGAACTCCACCCACAAGCCCCAAAAACCATCAGGGAATCCCCCAGAAACGTGGCCAGAAACCGAAAGAACCCAGAAGAAAGGCCAGAGACCTGCCTACCGCAGGAGCAGGAGCTGACGCTTCCAGCGAAGGCTCCTGCAGCACAAAGGGGATTAGGGGTTTAGGGTTTAGGGTTTATGGGGTTTAGGGTTTAGGAGTCTCATTTCACGACACTGAGAAGCCAGTACGGTGCTTTTGTTCCCCAATGCTGTTGTAAACCTTTGAGAGCTGCCCCGTCCTCCTAACTTTTGCCATCTCTACTAGTAGCAGACTCACAGGTCGCCATGACGAAGTCACCACAGAAAATTCAGGATCGCAGCAAAGGCATGTGGCGAAGCTTGCCCGTGCTGCACACATCTTTCCGCTCACCCAGTACGGTACTGCTGTCGCCGGCAGATGCAGCCTTGCCCCAGGTCCCGGATGGCAGCAGGGCCCCAAGTCGTCAGAGATCCATCACCCAGAAAAAAACAGCCCAGGCAGTTTGGACTATTTCCAGGAGGTTCCTTGAAGCTTTAACTCGAGCCTCGCCCACTTGCAGGGCCAGAACACCATTGTCTGGCAAGCCTGCTCCTTGGACAGTGCCCTTGGCCAGTGCGTCTTTGCCGGCAGCCTTCCCTTGCCCACTCCCAGAGCTGTCTGGGCTCTTTGACATGGTGCAACGCCCTTTTGCAACGAGATGAAAGCAGAAGCCATCAACTCCAAAGCTTGAAACGCCGAACAGTTGAACCAACGCCTCTTGCGACATTCAGGCGTCTGTTCACAAGCTGCCCCCGAAGTTCCCGAGGCTCTCAATGCCAAAGTTCGAAGCTCTAGGCAAGGACGCCGAGCTGGATTCGTCGTCAGGGCTTGGGGTTTAGGGTTTAGGGTTTAGGGTTTAGGGTTTAGGGTTTAGGGTTTAGGGTTTAGGGTTTAGGGTTTCGGGTTTCGGGTTTAGGGTTTAGGGTTTAAGGGTTTGGGGTTGAGGACTGTGGCATTGCGGGGTAGCAGCTCTGATCGCAAGACTTCTTTGCGGATCCTGGAGGTTCCGTGTGCTAATGTACTGCCATGCAAAGCACGTGCCATCACACTGTAGTCAGAGCTCAGCACGAGACTGGAAATGCCATGGCTTCTCTGTTGTCACTGTCGTTTCTGGCATCGTCCCAAATCGCGACATCTGCATGAGCCCGGGCGGACTCTGGCACTTCCCCACCAGCGACATGAAGAATCGCCAGATCCCCGCAGATCCATCAGCCCAGATCGCAACAAACCACTGCAGAGAAGTGTGCAACTACTGAACTTACTGGGCACTGCTGTCACCGTGATGGCCCCAAGTCACCACAGATAAAGCAGCTCGGATCGCAGCAAATGACGCTGAAGAAGCTTGCACGTGCTGAACGTCCTTTAGGTCACCGTGTACGGTACTGCTGCTATCGCCACCATGCGCAGCACTGCCCCAGGTCACCACAGATCCATCAGCCCGGATCGCAGCAAACGCCTGTACAGAAGCTTGCACCTCTTTCACATTCTTCAGCTCACCTTGTACAGTACTGCTGTCGCCGCCAGATGCAGCATGGCCCCAGGTCACCACAGATCCATCAGCCCGGATCGCAGCAAACGCCCGAGAAGAAGCTTGCACCTGCTGCACGTTCTTCAGCTCACCTTGTACCGTACTGCTGTCACCGCCCCATGCAGCATAGCCCCAAGTCACCACAGATCCGTCAGCGCGGATCGCAGCAAACGCCCTAGAAGCGGCTTGCACCTGCTGCACGTCCTTCAGCTCGCCTTGTACAGCACTGCTGTCGCCGCCAAATGCAGCATGGCCCCAGGTCACCACAGATCCGTCAGCCCGGATCGCAGCAAACGCCCTAGAAGAAGCTTGCACCTGCAGCACGTTCTTCAGCTCACCTTGCACAGTACTGCTGTCCCCACCAGACATAGCACTGCCCCAGGTCACCACCGACCCATCAGCCCGGATCGCGGCAAACGCCTGTACAGAAGCTTGCACCTCTTTCACATTCTTCAGCTCACCTTGTACACTACTGCTGTCGCCGCCAGATGAAGCATCCCCCCACGTCACCACCGACCCATCAGCCCGGATCGCAGCAAACGAATGTGGAGTAGCTTGCACGTGCTGCACGCCCTTCAGCTCGCCTTGTACAGCACGGCTGTTGCCGCCACATGAAGCATGGCCCCAGGTCACCACAGATCCATCAGCCCGGATCGCGGCAAACGCATTGGAAGAAGCTTGCACCTGCTGCACGTCCTTCAGCTCACCTTGTACGGCACTGCTGTTACCACCAGACATAGCCCCACAGATCCATCAGCTCGGATGGCAGCAAACGCCCGCACAGAAGCTTGCACCTGCAGCACGTTCTTCAGCTCACCTTGTACAGTACTGCTGTCACCGCCCCATTCAGCATGGCCCCAAGTCATCACAGATCCATCACCCAGGAGAGCAGCCCAGGCACTTTTGACTTCTAGTATTTCCCGAAGGTTCCTTGAAGCTTTAACTCGAACCTCGCCCACTTGCAGGGTCAGAACATCCTTGTCTTGCAAGCCTGCTCCTTGGACAGTGCCCTCGGCCAGTGCGTCTCCCGAGGCTGTCAGCAGCCTTCCCTTGCCCACCCCCAGAGCACTCTGGGCTTTTTGACTCAAGCTATCAATAGAAGCTTCCGGCTCTGTTTCCAAAGTAACACTCCGGCCACTCAGGAGGTGCACATGGACTGACATCGGCATGGCGCCGCCTGAAACGCAAACGCTCGACTGGGTGCCTCCCAAGTCGCCGCGTCCCTTTGGCACGAACCATACGAAACCCAAAAGCCTATAGAGCCTGAAGCCCTAAAGCCCTACAACCCTCCTCTGGGGGGATTCCGAACATAGGGGTACCTTATTGAGGTCCTTACTATAAGGGAATCCGGGGGTCGATTATAGGGGTCAATGAACAGGCTGAGTTCTTTCAGGACTTGGGATTTCTGGCCGCAGGCGTAGGGTGGCAGAGGCTAACACTGCAGGCGAGTGAACGTGCATCTTTTCTTGGCTGAGCACCACTTTCCGAGAGGGATGAGTGCAGGGATGAGTGCAGGAGAAAGCGCAGCACTTTAGCTGCACCTGAGCGTAAAAACCCCAGAGACCCGAACAGAGAAGGACGCCGTGGAGGCCCGCAATTTGCGAACTTCCAAAATGCCCCGCTTATATTAGCAAAACTTTTGCCGCATCACATGCATACATACATACATACATACATACATACATACATACATACATACATACATACATACATACATACATACATACATACATACCTACGTACATACATACATACATACATACTTATGTACCTACGTGATGCACATGTACATTTACATATACACATGTGCTAGCAGCTAGCAAATTTGACTGCAAGGTTTTGGGGGCCCCAGGCACCTCCGCTACCGGCTGCTTGGCAGGAGCAAGCACGTCCTTGGATGCCGGCTTCGGGAGTTTTGGATTTTGGAGCTGGGGGGTGGGGGGGGGTTAGGGTTTGGGGGTTAGGGTTTAGGGTTTAGGGTTTAGTGTTTAGGGTTTAGGGTTTGGGGGTTAGGGGTTAGGGGTCAAGGCTTAGGGTTTATAATCGGGTTACGGGGTTTAGGGGGTTTGGGGTCCAAACTTTAGGGGAACCCTGAACCCCTGCACCCCTAAATTAGAACCCTAAACCTCTGAACTCCTGAACCCTATACCCAAACCCTAAAACCTAAACCCTAAACCCCAAAACCCCTAAGCCCCTTGGGCCCAGGGGAGTCCAGGAGAGCCTTGAACCGCCCACCCCGACGCCTCCTTGCGCTCGGGGGCCTCGGCTGGCGAGCCTCTCGGCACGGAGGGCTCCGGTTTGGGGTTTGGGGTTTGGGGTTTGGGGTTTGGGGTTTAGGGTTTAGGGTTTAGGGTTTAGGGTTTGGGGTTTGGGGTTTAGGGTGTGGGGTTTCGGGTTTAGGGTTTGGGGTTTAGGGTTGAGGGTTGAGGATTGAGGGTTGAGGGTTGAGGGTTTAGGGTTTGGGGTTTGGGGTTTGGGGTTGAGGGTTGAGAGGAAGCTTAGTCGGACACCTTCGTCCCCATGTCCCTGACTCCGACAGCCGCTGCGGAGCCTCTCTGCTCGTTGAACCAGGGCACCACCACGGTGAGAACTGCACAGGGGCGCATGGGTGCTCGGGCTACCGTCCGCACTTGGGATGCTGCCCCTTACACTAACAGTCCTCAGTAGGGATTCTAGTACTCAACTTACAATCCCTGTTGAGGAATGTTAGAGTAAAGGGGAACATCCCGATTCTGCACTTTGAGGAACCGAAGCATCAGCTCGCGAGCGTCCTTGCTAAAGTCTAGGCCGCAGGTGGAGAGACACGAAGCCCGAAACCTTCAACCACTGCCGCCTACGCCGATCAGGAGGATGAGCCCAGCCTTTCCAAAGAGAGAGAGAACTCTCTGGGGGGACTCCCAGGAGTCTAGGGCTCCCTGAATTGGGGTCCCCTTTCGGGCTCCGATGTTTGTGCGTCGCCTTAAGGCCCCACTCTCGGCTAGGCATCCTGGCTCAGACTTCAACCCTGAGGCCCCCTTGAACCTTATATGCGCCCGATATGCGCCCTATAAGAACCCCTAAGCTTCCCTTGAACCCCCTCAAACCCGAGACCCTTTAGACCCACCCATTGGGGTCTGCACTTCAGTTTAATTTCAGCTGAAAGCGCAGTAACAACGGCAATAATCGTTCTGCTCGTAATAACACCAAGAAAAATAATCACTATACTAGTAATACAAGTAGTAACAGTAATTGCAACAATACTGACAGAACTTTTCGTCACAATAGTAACACTCGTAGTGATTAGCAATGCTTGGTAGCAGCTAGTACTAGTAGTCATAATGGGAATAGCCGTAAGAAAACGTAAAACTCTTTAGATAAACATATATATAGCAAAAGAAAGAAGAACAACTCAGATTAACCTGTATAAAACAAAAAAACACCGTTCACAGCCGTAGGGCGGCACCTGCACTCGAAGGCCTAGGGGAGCATCGCGTTGGAGCTCCGCAACGAGGTCCTGGAGCTGAAGCCTGTCCCGCGCGCGGTTCCGGGGGCGCGCTGAGTGGGCTCTCTTAAGACTCAAGGAGACTCGGGGTTGGGGGGGGGGGGCTGGGCTGTTTTTTCCGGGTTTAGGTTCAGGGTTTAGGGTTTAGGGTTTAGGGTTTAGGGTTAAGGGTTAAGAGGGTTAGGGTTTAAAGCTCTAGCGACACGTATGAAATGTTAGGGTCGATCGTTCTAGGGCTGAGGTCTCGGGATGTCAATCGCATTAGGTCCCTGAGCGCGTTTCCTAGTATCCCCCAAACAAGGCGATAGCTGGAAGTAACCCTAAAACCCTAAACCCTAAGCCCTGAACCCTAAACCCTAAACCCCAAACTCTAAGCCCTGTTTCGAGTTCCAGCCCTCCTTGTATCTCTCCATGAACCTACCCTAAACCCTAAACCCTAAACCCTAAACCCTAAACCCTAAACCCTAAACCCTAAACCCTAAACCCTAAACCTAAACCCTAAACCCTAAACCCTGTCCATGAACCTTCAAAGCGGCCATTCCGAGCCTTCAGAGCCCCTTCCTGCGAACAAACCGCCATGAATCCTCTGAGAATCCCCTTCATGAAAAAGAAGAAACAATTATATTTATAGTAAAAGTAGAAACTAGAAGAGGGATGGCCCGAAAGCATCGATTTGCCGTGCGTTGACTCCATGCACTTGATTCTTTGTAATCGAACTGTATGCACTTGGAGAAATGTATGCCCTTACATGGTTGCATAGTCACTTGTACACTGCACTTGTATGCACTGGAACCGCATGGCATTCAAGTGTGTGGAGTTGAATGCCATGCACTTGTGGTCAACTCTGTAGACTTTTCATCGGCGTTGAAGACAACGCCGAGCTCCAGCGGCCGGTCGCGGCACGCACCTGCGCCGGTGCAAGGAAAGAAGCAGAAACCACACAAGCACAAAAACAGACAAAAGAGGTGGAGTCTAAGTAAGGGCCGTGCATGTTGGTCGCCATGGAATACCTGCGCGCAGAAAACAGCTTTACTTGCAAGTCGGTCGACAAAGGTGCCAATCGTCCCGGGCGGTCCTAGCTGCATTTTCACACACGCGTGCGTCGCACCGTCATATTAAACAGAGGTGGCCGCGCCGTCGTACTTTCGCAAGACAGCGTCCGTTTGGGGAACCCACATGTGTATTTGTCTGACATGTGGCACCCGCGCTCCGAATTGACACGCTGCCTTGCAGAGGCTAACCTTTTCATCGCAAGCGCGCCGTCGACTTGAAATCATGTGCGCCAGCTTCCCACTCCGGGTCGCGTCGCGCTTCCCTCTCCATTCCGGATTGACGTTACTACTTACTACAAAGCTACTCAGCAACTTCGAACTGAAAGGACAGCTCAACTGGCTTGGTCCAGCCCAGCATGGACCTTGGCCGCCCTCCCACCGACACGGGCATCTTGAAAGCCTTGACGTCCAGGACCACCCAGCCGAAAAACCGCTTAGCACCCGAGGACCACCAATCGAATGGACTGTCGACCTCGATGAGCGTATCCTGCCTGTGAGAGTCGAAGTCCCGATCGTCCAAGAACTCGGTCGCCCCAGCAAAGGTGATGATGCCCAGGACCTGAGCCCGTGAAGGAGGAGGGCCAATCTCCGTGTCCACGATGGCACCCTTGGTGGACCCGGCGCCGACGGTCTCTATGAGGAAGAGCTGCTCGCCCTCCGAAAAGCACTGGTAGTGACCGAGGGCGTACTTCCTCACCTCCATCTTTTTGCGCCCAAGCATCAACAGCCGACTCCATGGGTACTGGACATTGAGGCCGCAAAGCGAGAGGCGCTGAGTCGACAAAAAAACTTCATTGGACACCGAAGCAGGCAAGTTAGGATCTTTCAGCCGTGCTGCGCGAGCGACCAACTCGGCCGCCGTGCCGCATTCTCGCATGGATTTCAAGTCTGCAAGAGCTTTCCTTCTGCTGTCACGCAGCGGACCTCTGATCGAAGTGTCCTTCTCCTCGCAGATGCGGATGTGCGCAAAATGCGCTCGCCAGCCATATCCATGCTTCTCCACGATCCCGCGCTGGCTAAGTTCCTGTGACTTTCTACCGAGACCCGCCATGCTGCAACTTCACACCTGCCTCGAGCCAAGGTAGAGATCACAACAAAACTCTGAGCGCAGGAGAAGATCCACAACACCGTCCCCAAGTTGTTTGCGAGGATTTCAAAGCTCCATGCGCTCGGGCCATCCCTCTAGAAGCACGCATGCGTGTAGAGCATCCGATGGAATGTGTGACGGCGCATATGTGTGCATGTTGAGGCGCAGGCAGGAGGCCAAGCAGCTTTGCATTTTATATCTTGGGCTGGTACACGCGAAAGACCCTTTCGCAAGACAGCGTTGAGGGGAGTAAGCAAGGGTTCAAACTAGCGAGAGTTCTGCAGGCGGTGCAAAGCCAAGAGAGCATAATCTCTGCATTTCCACGGTTGCAGAGCTCTCTGAGCCGACAAGATGCAGTCCACAGCTTCATCTGCGCTGCATTGGCCGTCCAGCACCAGCCAAGCGCAGAGGGCAGCAGGACTGCGATTAATGCCACCGAAGCAATGGAAGAGCACGTTGAACTCCTCGCTCGCCTGTTGGCACTGCTCGCGCAGAGTGCGCAAAGTCTGAGCCATGTCTGTCCAAGCCTGGGCGCACCGCTCTGCGCTCTCGAAGAACCAGGAAGCATCCCGGTTGCATTTGATTCTGGGGTCGTCCAATTCAACTTGGACGTGCCGCACACCAGAGCGGGAAAAGTGCTCGCGCCAGTCTTGGGGAGCCCCCCTGACTCGCAGCTCAGCTGGCCGGCACACGCTCACCACAACCGTCACAGAAGTGTTGGTGCTGACCTCGACGTGGAAGATGTCGGCAGCCGAGCGCACGCTGCCCAGCAAGCAGCTCTCACCAGGCTTCGCAGACCGCACCACCACGGCATCGAGAGGCCAGTCGGAGATGTCGCCCAGGTTGTAGGAAGCTCTCCAAACAGTATAGTCCATGTCTGACCAAGGTCCCTCATTGTATTTTGTGGAGATGTCGAGCTGCCTCTGTCGAATCCAGCACATCTCCGCGTCGGACATTGTCGGCCCAGAAGACGTCAGCGAGGACTCCATGCATATGCAGAAAGCAGCAAGGAGGTTTCACTGCAGACCGCTCGTCGGGCCAAAACTAGCTTTTCGAGCCAAAGCCAGCAGCGCAGCCAGGTCTGCGGGTTTAGGGTATCTTGTTCAGAAGAGTGAGGGGCTGAGGTTCTGGGGTTCGGGCAGAACAATGTCAGAATGACATTCCCACACAGACAGACACAAAACCACGTCATCGACTGGCCTAAAGCTCGGGATGTCTCCCATCCACGGTCAATGTCAAAGGCGAAGAGAAGTTGAGGTCAAGAAGAAGGCTACAGAAGAAGCACTGTTTCAGTCCTGCGCTCTAGTGAGAAACGAACTTGCCCAGTCCCGCGGGCTGCATCCCCACACCTCCGCAAGACGGCGTCCATGCGGTTCCGCAGCCGCGCATCTTCGCAACAGAGCGGCCACGCGGTTCCACGGTCGCGCTACATGTGTGCGGTGGCGTGAAACACACGTAGCCGCTCAGACCGCCGGGATACGTCAGCACCGCCCCTAGTCATCATGCCGATGAGCAGCCTCAGATGAAAGATGCGGGAGAGACCTCAAGGCAGACATTCGCACATCTTCCTCGTTGTACCAATCCACAATGCAACGTGCGCAATAGTGCGCCTGATGTCCATACTTCGTTCTCATGCACGGACGGTCGTGCATCTCGCAGGAGAAAGTACAACTGCCTCTTCGCGGCGGGCAAAGATTCCCCATTGCGGCAAGGAGCAAAAGGGCGCGGTCACCTAAGCAAACGTCGCAAAAAGGTGCTGCGGCGCCCACACGAATGCACGCATGTCACCATGCACTCAGACATCATGCCAACGTGTGAGTTGTGTCAAGTGAGTCCAAGGAGACATGCCATGTCATTCTCAGTCCAGGGAGACACGCAGTCTTTTTAGCAGGAGCTGCGAGAGTGTGCGCATGCCCACAGGCGCTGCAGGCGCTGACTGACCTGTCCAGGGCGAGCCTTCCGCCGTGTCCGGCGCCGGCGCACCTTCCGCAAGACAGCGTCGGGCGCGCGGCGCCGGGGTCAGGCTCCGGCAAATAAACATCCGCAAAACTGGACCCTAGAGTCTCGAGTGCTGTCTAGGGCGAGGCTTCCGCCGTGTCCAGCGCCGGCGCACCTTTCGCAAGACAGCGTCGTGTGCGCAGCACCGGGGACGGGCTCCGGCAAATAGACATCCGCAAAACTGGACCCTAGAGTCTCGAGTGAAACATGTCTATAGGGCGAGGCTTCCGCCGTGTCCAGCGCCGGCGCACCTTTCGCAAGACAGCGTCGCGCGCGCAGCAGCGGGGACGGGCTCAGGCAACGTCCCAGGCTGCGCACTTCACCTTCGTCGGCGTCTCCTCGATGAGACTGGTGGCCGGGCGCTTGTTGCTCTGCAGCGTCGGCTCCCCCGCGAGCAAGTCCCAGACCATGGCGCGCTCTGTCTCCAGGTTGCGAACTTGAGCCTCCATCGCCCGGGACATCCACTCCACGTGCAAGACCACAGCGTCCGTGGCCTCGTTCCTGAGTACGCGTCCCACCAAAAACCGTGGTTGGCCGTCTGCCATGTTGAAGAGGTGACAGCTGGTGAAGTGACAAAAGGCCTCGATCGCGAATGGCTGGGCGCCGTCCATGTGTGGGTACGAAAAGACCTGCTGGTGCTTGGTGACCAAATGCTTCTCGCCGCCAATGTCCACCTCGTCCATGGACGGCTCGTCCTTGGCGAAGGCCAGCAGCGTCACGCACTCCGCGAACACGGAACCGCGCGTGAAGAAGGTCCCGAGGTCCGAGCAGGACAAGTCTGAGAACAGACTCTGCACAGGCAGGACCGCGCCATCCCTCATTTCATTTACCAGGCGCGTCACCTTCTTGACCATGGGACGCGCGCGCTCATCGTAAGCTTCTCCGAAG